TAACAAAACCATTATACCCTGATTTCCCAATTTCAATGGGTTCAGGGTATAAAAAAGAAGCCAGATTCATTTTGGGATTCACTAATTTGGAGTGACGAGTTCAAATTAAGCATTTTTGGATCAGATAGCATGGAGAAATATAAAAAATTTAACAGCAACTGTGAAGAATGGAGACGGAAACGCGATGGTCTGGGGGTGTATGACCACATCTGGAGTTGGGAAACTGGTATTTATACATTTGGAATTTACCAGGTAAAAGGATGCGGAAGTACAAAATATCCTCAAAAGATTCTCTAAAGTCAGTTTTGAGCTCTGAATGGGTTAAAATCACCGAAAATCAAACCAAACCATTAGTACGTCGCCGACTGATTGTATATATTCGGTGATTTTTGGTGATTTTAATAGATAATATAAAATATTTTTATATTAATATAAATATGAATAATTGAACGCAATGTTATGGAATAAGAAATAGGGAAAATTAATATCTGATTTGAAGCGATACATAAATAAAAATGAAAAAAATAGTAGCAAGTGCAAATTTTCTTGCATATATTTATTTATTTTATTTTTATTTTTATTTTTATTTTTTTTTTGTCATACCTTGCCGTACACTACCACATGAGATGAGGACTCCGTCGTTGTGGGCGTAGCTAACAACCAATATTTTATTATAATTATTAACCAGCGACGTTTCCACATCCTCCGGACATCCACCGGCATGACACTGCGGTGCATCGAGCTTGGGTCCGGTGACAGCCTCTGAGAGAACTCTTAGGTTTTCATTTAGCTTCAATATTTTGTTTGTGGCACCCGCATAAAGGACGTCATGCGCGTAATCGAAGGTAAGGTGAGTGAAATAGTTTTTCGATTGATCATTGTAACTGCCAATATTGAAACCATTAGCAGCATTTGTGTGATTACCGAAGTTAGCCTCCGTCGATGTGGACGTGGAGCTACCACCATCGAATTGACCATTGGGCACGCCTCCATTATTAATAGGTGGCAGAACAAACTGAGCAACAATGTCCGCTGAAGAGAATGGCTGTGATGACTGCGGTTCAGCATTGTCTAAATTTATATATGAATGTGTTTGCGCGTGCCCACGCTCAACTTTGATGCAATGCACAGCCCAAGGCATTTGCAAAGTTAACAAGAGTAATATGGCGCCCAGCAAAGAAAATATTTGCCGCAACATTCTATCAATGGGTAATCCTTTGACCATTAATTTGTATGTATGGCAAATTCAAAATGGTGTTTTTTTCATAGGGAGTCGAGTGGCGAAGGAAGAGCAATGTGCGATTTGAACGATGAGCCAATGCTTTTTTATCACATTATAAATTACACTACTTGATGCACTGAGTTCTGAATTACATTTCGGTTAAAAATCAGCACAATTTGTTAAGCAATAACAAAGAACTCTCAAATGCTCCGTCAAACGCGAAAACATATATACATATTGTGAAAAAAGTGTATACTTTCATAATAAAGCTGTCAAGCTATCGATAACTAAAATTATTCAATGCGATACTTACATACCTGACACACCGATAGAAATAATGGGAATTGATTACTTTAGTTCCCGTAAATAATTAATTATTTCCCAATAAATAATATTTTAGATAATAGTGTAAGTTTTAGCAGATAAATTTTCTTGCCAAAAACTATATTTCACTTATCAAAAACAAGTTCTAAGCATACAATGCCATAATTTAAAGAATACTGACGGAAATGACAGATAAGTATTTGTACTCGATAAAAAAAAGACCGCGAACGAAAATCGAATTCGAATTCAAATAATCTACATTTTTAGGCTTGATTAATATAAGCAACATATATTTATATTAAAAGTAATATAATTAAAATTCAATATACATACATATGTATAAGTTGATATACATAACATATATATACCAATATTTTCAACATAATTTGTTTAAAGCCGTTAGACGTGAAAAGTGACTTGTCAATAATTCAATAAAACTAACATTAACAAGCAAGAAGACTCTAGTCGAGATTGCACGACTAGGATAGACCCGTAACTTCTCTTGGCACACATACATACATCCATACTCACGCATAAGCCCGCGCTCTGCTAACTGCGCAGTAAGCAGCGACTGCGCTTGGGCTGCGCTCCATTGAATTGAAAATGGCAAATCAGGGTATAATGCTTTCGTTCAAATGTACGTAACAGGTAGGAGACGTGGCAGACCCCACAAAGTATACATATATGTATATTCTTGATCAAGACGACGAGCTGAGTCGATTTAGCCCTGTCCGTCAGTCTATCCGTGCGTTCGCCCGTCTGGCCGTATGTTTGAACGCGTTAACTTCAGAATATATGAGCTAGAGACTCCAAATTTTTTTAATTGTCCGTTTATCGCCACAAATCGATAACTCATCCCGTTATTTTTTATCGATTAAAAACCTAATCGAAAGTCTGTTATAAAACTATATATATGTATGTATGTATATATGCATTTTATACAATTTCGGTTTTTGGTATATTTTGGATACGGGCTCCATATTCACCAGAATCCCCAGTGGAGGTTCTGCCAGTATAGCTAATAGTGAATGATTTGGCATTTTCTTTAAATTCATTAAATTCCATTAAAGCAATCGACTTTAATAAATAAACAAAATGTTTGGCCAACAAACGCACTTCCAGCAGCCATAACAGTTTTCCTATAGGTGGGCACACATGCACTCAAACTTATTCTAGCATATTCTTAGAATCACATTACGCTTGAAGTGCTAGAATTCTCAGCAGTTAGTTTAGTTTAGTTTTGCTAGATGGCGCTGCGTCAGTGAACCTATGTATGTGCATACATACATATTTCAGTTTTGCCATCGTAATTTTTAAAAGATAGGCAGCGTTGTGAGTAGCGGCGCGGCGCTCAATCGAGAAGACTCGGGTTTGAACCCAGAGCGCGCGTTTGACGTTCATTATTTTTTTAATTGTTTCAAAATATTGAAATTTCAACCACACAACCATACTAGTTTGGTTATTCTAGCACATTCTTAGAATCGCATCAGCAGTTTGGTTGAGATTTGCTAGATGGCGCTACAGCAGTGAATCTATTTAAGTTTTGCCATCATATTTTCACAAGAAAGGCGGCGTTGTGTCTAGAGGGGCGGGGCTCGTATAAAAGACTCGAGTTCCATTTCTTTAATTTTTAAATACATAAAAATCTAGTCAAGCACTCTCGACTAGAGTTTTCTTACTTGAACCCATTGAGTATAGGAAATCAGAGTATAATGGTTTTGTGAAAAATATGTAACAGGCAGAAGGAAACATCGCAGATCAGGGCGATGAGCTGAGTCGATATAGCCCTCTCCGTCTGTCCGTCCATCCGAATGTCCTTATGAACGCCTAGATTTCAGAAGTTATATGTATGTGCTAGAGAGCTGAAATGCATACTCGTGTATACCATTCGCAGTAAAAGCTTATATTTTTCGATAACTTTTTTATAGAGAATAATCGAAAAATTGATTTGGTTTTTCAGCCTCATTTGAGTACTATTAGACTTGGAGAATTCGGATTAACTGTGTACATATGTATGTATGTTTGTGTGAATAAAAGTGAATGATTAAAATATCAGACTGGAGGGTTCTGAGTATCCCCAAGTGCTCTCGACTAAAGCCTTATTAATTGTTATTATTTACTTACACAAATGTTCCCACTGGCAACAGATCTTAAAGTGATTGTAGAAATCGAAATTGGACAAATTGTTATTTTATTCAGATGTATAGTATACATTAGGTAAATATTTATACTCGATGGTATAGATATGGAACAATATTATTTAAAATTGGGAAGACACATATGGGTTGTTTTACTTCATCATAGCTACCTTAAAAATAAAAAGAAGTTCATCTTCTTGAATGGCTTGAAGACTTATCTGGAACTGATTAAGTTTACCGCTTGTATTATAATTATTTTTTAAAATTTCAAATGACACTATAAATTGCTCTTAATAAAAGGCAATACTCGAATATATAATTTCACTGAAACGATAAGTACAACTGCGTGTTCGCGTGCGAATAGTTTCATTATGTACTTGTTATATTCAATATCCAGTGTAGAGTTACTTCAAATAATCTATAAGAAATCGCGAACTCAGGTCTTTTTAAAGGTTGCCCTAATTATACTTTAATTTAATAACCATGCAGCATGGCAGGTATAATCAACATAACAATTAAAAATACTACTGCATCATCTGCAGGTATCGATTCTCCTCCAGCAGTGAGCTCAGAGATGTAGTCATATCGTTGATAATCAAATTTGTACTGGGATGCGGGTGCGTAGAGCTGCTAACGTCGGGCCATATAGGTTGATTGTTATTATTGAGCGACGCTGGCGTGTTCAGCGAAGTGTTGCCTACCGAGATACCACTGTTCGTCTCCATCCAGTTTTGACAGCTTTGTACATATTCCAGCGTACGCTGGTAAGTAACGGAATGCATCGAAGCCATGTTGCTGGTCTGTTGGCCCGTCACGATTTTATGTTGCGCTTCTCCGTTAATAGACTTCACTGCCCCTGAATTGGGAATTTGAAATCTGACCTGACAATTGAAGTTCGCATTATCATTCCCATTGATATTTACTGTTGGCGACAACTGCGATTGACTGACGACTCCGCATTGTATCTCATTAACATTGTTAAGCTTTTGCTCGACTGGAATAGCAGTAACAACATTTGTTACTTCCGGCAGACTGGTCATTGATGAATCGATTATTTGATTTTGATGTGATGTTATGTCATGTGGCTGTTCATAACTAAGCGCGCCGATTAGTGACTGTGGCTGATTTTGAGGATGAATCTGGGCTGAAGCATGGACTGGAGCTGGACCTGGCACATATGTATACTGCGAAGTCGATTCATTATTTGATCGTTGTGCACAGTAAACTGTATGTTGCTGACGATATGCATTGTTGTTCCCGCCGTCGAGTTCGTAGTTTCGCTGAGAGTATGGACTGCCAAGCGCTGACATTGTATGTCCTGATTGGGGCGACATCACCTGTTGCATAACTGGCGATGGACAGTTGGCCAGGTGTATAGGCGAATGGCCACCATTCGCCGCCAAAGGGATGTATTGCGAATTGTTGGTGAGTAAAGATTTTTCATTATTGTCTGTTATTGATATCGCCGTAGGCTTATCCGGTTCGTTCACCAAATTAAGATACTGAAGCATCTCATCAGGTAATATTAGGTCTTCAACCTCATCTAAGTTAACTTTTTCATTGGGATGATGATCCCGGGAATGGCCAACAGCGGTCGTTTTTGTTCTTATTTCGCAATCTTTATTTTCAGATTTAGTTGTGGTGCACGAAGTTGCTCGATTTATATTGATATGGATGTTTTGAGGATTGAGAGCAGGTGAGCTTGTCATTCGCTCTATGCTCTGCTGGGCCATTATCGGCTCTGACTGACGTCTATGGTGATGATCACCATTTATTTCCTCCTCAAAAAGATACTTAGAATTAAGCTGCGGCAACTGTAAAACATTTGGTATAGAAAAGCGTCCGCCGCTTTGACTAACTGTTAATTGATTTTGAATTGGACTCGAATAACTATTCGTATTGTTTGATTGCAAACGCTGCAAATGTGTTGCAATGAGATGAGAGGATGGCGGTGGGGGCAGGCTGTTGCTGTTTCGAGATCCATTTATAGCAATAGGCTGCTGACCTGCATTAATCGATGTAGCATGTACGGATGGTGTACCATCATTCATAAGACTGATTGGCATTTGAGGATGCTGCGCTGTAATCACATTTGACATTTGACTGGACCGACGAGAACATCCCGGCGATATGGGATCATATAAAGAGGGTGTGCCCGATGCCGTATTATATACTGTATAGGCCCTCATTGTTGATATGGATGATAGCTGTGAGGATTGGCTGCTCCGTCGACTCGGCATGCTGCAGTAATATGTGCTAGCATTTGAATTTTGGCTATCTCGGCGCTGCTGGGACTGAACCGCAGCTGCCGATTGAGTGTGACATTGAAGAAGATGCTGATCGTTGACCTGTCCCGCTGCTCGGCTATGACCTTGTGTTGGCTGACTTTGCAGTTCCGTTAATTGCAGTCCTTTACAATTGCCCATGGATGAAAGACCTGAGTGCATTGGCTGTTGAGTAGCTACAGCTGTACCCGGTTCCATCTTTAGCTCGGTAATACGCTGATTCAGTTCTTGTATGCCAATGGCCCGATGGTGATTATTACTCTCCGGTATGTTGGACAGCATAGAGTTGCTCGAGTTGATAACCTTGGTTTGTAGACGACTACGAAAACGCTGGCGTGCCAGATTTGCACATGGTGTCGCATTTCCATTACCCATATTAACCATAGCACGAAGCACGATGGGAAGATCGACCGCATCCACATCATCGTCATAGGGCCAACATTCATCGAGTGTGGGCACCGATGGACTGCTCAAATCGTCCTGCCTGTACATTTGCATAAGGCAATCAGAAACCGAAGGTGTAGATGATCCCGCCTGCGCAGCCAATTGACCGGGTGAATTTGGATCGGACTCGGACTTAATACTCGGGCTAGACACACTGACTGGCTTGCCACCATGAAAATCATCGCTGCAGGGACTAGAGTCAACGTGCTGCTCTTGAAGTTCCTGGTGGTACCGAATTTGTTGATGTTGCTGATGCTGCTGATTACCATCTCGTACATCTTTGTTTTTCTCCAGTCCAGAGTTAGCATCATGGAGAGGCAGGCCCTTGTGTTTCTTATTCGCATAGAACTCGGCTCCATGCACGGTCTTCACATGCTTACGCAAGGAGCTGGGATCTGTATAACGCTTTGTGCAGCCTGGTGCCTTACATATATACGGTTTCTACAAATATGCCAATTCACACATAGAATTTTAATTGTATATACAATGTATCATATGTTCGATAAAAACTTTTTAAACTATTTAAAATACTCCTTACCTCGTTGCTGTGAGTTCGATTCTGATGCTTTGCACGATCGCTCGCATTGCTAAAAGCCTTGCTGCAGCCCGGATACTCACAGGTATACGGCTTCTCACCTGTATGTGAGCGTAAGTGGGTTTTCAAATTCTCCAAACGAGAGTACGCCTTATAGCATCCCTCAAACTGCAAAATAAATTCGAAAATATTATATATGCAATTAACTAAAACACAAAAAGCAGATACACATACGCTTGGTAAGGTTCTAAAAAAGTTAAATATTTTGAACCAATATGATAATAAATTATAGGATTATATTATATGCATATGTATATTATGCATATCGCAAATCATGTTAGATTTGTTAATATATGTCGACAACGACTATGTTGATAATAAGCTCCACAGGACACTTACCGTACATTTGTGGGGCTTTTCCCCAGTATGGCGTCTCATGTGGACAACAAGCATGTATTGGGCCTTGAAGGGCTTTTCACCACGTGAGCAATCGAGCCAACGACAGATGAATGCTTTTTTGTTGCTCTGAATGTGATCATTGTTAATGTGTTTAACAAGTTCGTCCTGGGTAATGAACTCAACACTGCAGTTACGCCAATGACAATTCGTCTCAATGAAGTCGCCCGGCTCATCCTTAATGTCCGTTGTATCCGCCGTAGCGCAGTCGTATTCGTTAAACTGATGATCTGGATTTTCATCGTGGCTATGCGTCCGATGATCCCCGCATAATGTCTTGTTACGTTGGCGACGCTCCAACAAATTTGCAGACGCGCTATCTGCCTCAACTTGAGCAACACTCTCCGACGTAGATGATGGTAGTTCAATGAGTTTTTTGCTACTGTTGTTATTTTTTTTGCGATCCGTGCTATCTTCCTCGTAATTCTTGAATACGGTTAAGTAATTAGGTCTTTATTAATTTGAGTAATCGCTTCAAAATCATACGGAAATCCTATGACCTGAGAATCATATTTAATATGCAATGAGGTTGCCTAATTTACAGATGACGTTACATACATACATATATGTATATTATATATATCGCCATTTTACCTATGTCTTTCTGTCTGTCTTTTATACTCACGAAAGTGAAATGAGTATATTGGTTTTGTGCAATGTCCGTCCGTCTGTCTGTATGAACGCAGTTCATTTCAGCGCTACTGAAGCTAGACTTTAAACTTGGAACACATGCTCGTTTATATCTCCAATTTATAAAGTGTTAGAATTTTCCCAATCCACCCACTAGAGCGTGGCAAATCGGAAAATGCATTTTCCGGTATACCAGTAATCATATTAGTTGATGAGTTAGAAAGCTGAAATTTGGAATGTACATCCGCGTCGACCATCCAATATCACGAGCTATGGCGGATATATCTACGCCCATTGGGGCGTGGCAAATCAGATAAAACTGTATCTCCTAGAATTTTTATTCTAGAACGTTAAAGTTTTGCACGTGAGCTAATGTTATGATTCTATAAAGATTAATGAAAACATTATATGTCTACGTGACAAATACATATTTGTTGCTATATTTTGGACACTATGATGCTAGAGACCTTAAATTTGGTATATATACTCGGGCTGACCACCCAAGACCAAGAAGCTTCGACGGATCTATGTCCGCCCGGCAGGGGTGTCATTTTAGCTTTTTTCCCGTCAGATCTGGCTTTATTTGAAGGGAAAAATTTGAAAACGGCGGGTTGCGGGAATTCTTGCTTTGAAAAAATTAATTTAGCTCTATTTTAGCTTTATTTAATTTTCACGATTTATTTTGCTTTTTATCTTTCTCAACACTAACAAGAAAGAAAGCTCTAGTCGAGACTGCTCGACTACGAGATCCCCTGAACCCTACAAG